GTTACCTTCCTTTAGATTCGTTTATAATCATAGTTTAATGCTTGATGCATTATATAGATTTGATTATATTATACTCTTACACCCATCATTCTTAATAAATTTTACTATAATTACCCTGGTCAAGTAACTTATTATAATGTTATTAAGCATTCTCCAGCTCTTCCAAGGACTCATATAATATGGTAACAATAGATGAGATTTTATTTAACAAGAAGTATAAGTTTATTAACAAGAATAATAGATTTATCTAATAAAAATAAAGCCTATTTTAACTAAAGTTGCTCTTTTTTCTAAGATAAGATGAATTACTTTTATTTATCTTGAGTAATTTATCTTTCCTAATCTATCACTCTTGTATCCTGTTCAAATATTGAACAATCCTCTTGTAACTTAATGGTTATTATACGATTCTTATTCAAATATTAATATCATTAATATAATATTTTCTATACTAATATTACTAATTTCATCATATCACTCTAGTTTGAATTATAATTCAAAATTATAATTTGAATTATAATTGAAATAATAACTTAAAACAATGAGATAATTCAATATTTATTTTAATATATTAAATACAATATTTCAAAACTTTATTAATTAAAAAATAATTATTTTATTTGGTTTCAATTGTTTAAATATAAAACTCATTTTTAATATGCTTAGCGTTAATTTTATTAATTAACAAATTGCCAAAAACTTGAAATGAAACAAATTCTGACAAGCAACGCAATCTTATAGAACTCTCCGATATAATTTATTAATATTCTATACACGGCGAAAAAAGTGACGGATCACGTGATTTGAATTAAGAATATTGTATATATAGCAAACGTGAACATAATACGTATATACGTAGTAAAATTTTGCAAACCATTTTTGCTAGAACACAAATGATTGGTTCATAGTAAAATTTCAAGATACAAGCTATTTTCAAAAGTAAGCATTTGATTTTACGGGAATATCGGATTATCGGCATCGGTATCGGAATCACGTGATCTGCCACTTTTTTGCTGAGGCTAGATTGTACTTATTTATTTGTTGCAAGTGATACACGAATCACATGAATCTATTCAGGGATGTAAAAGTTCCTTTTTTTGATAGATCTGCACTATTTTTGTTTACTTTCGCTGAATACCAAAAGCGAAGTAGTCACATAGACCAATCCAATAGCAAAGATCAGGTGTAACATACAATCCAATTGTAAGATCATGTGTAACACGCAAACGAAAATCCCAATAACTCAAAAATGTTGGATATTAAATCATAAAATCCGTTTTATCATCTAAGTTATACATATAAACTTTTCTTGAGTTTAGTGGCAGACATATGATCTGATTTTGCCGGTCTGTTGTTTTATCATTGAGTTAGGGACCAAGTCAAGATTACATACGTATAAAATTGCCTCCCTAACATTTTTTTAGACATCTGTTTCTCGTATTTTTCACATTTTTCATTTTTTTTGTATCGGATTTTTGTTTTATCGGGTTTATTGGAAGTACAGGGAGTGAAAAAAATTCTCTCCTGAATTTGTCGTTATCTCCGGTGATCTGTCCGAGAAACAAACCAATAAGAATGCGTAAATTTTTTACATATGGCTAAGTGCAATACAATTTATACCGTTTCTATTGCACTCGGCCCATAATATATTCTTGCCCGCCGCTCAAACCCTAAAATCAACCGTAATAAACGTGTATCACATGACTTTTTACTAATAATAGGGATTAAAAAGTAAACCCTAAAATCTTGGTAATACCGATCTTTATAAAATTCGGTTTGGATGGTGGTTCGGTTTAAAAGGGGTTGAGTTGACTAAATGTATGTATTAAATGACCCGAGTATGATAACCCAAATTACTCGTGTTAACTCGAGTCGATTTTTGAACTTTTTACAGGTCTGTACACATGCATGTATTGCCAATTGTTTACAGTTGACTGTATTTAGCAAGGGGTGCAGAATTCAACATGATTTTGTCGAAACAAGAAAATTTGCACATGTGCAATAAAAGATTGCGAAAATACATAGCCACACAAGAAAAATCACGTCAAAACCAATATTGTTATATAAAGCGAGTTGGAATTGTAAACAGTAACGAGAGCTTATCAAAAATTATCTTTGCTCGTACTTGATTAAAAAAACAAATTTACGAAAATGAAATCTGCCAAATTAATTCTTGTGTTGTTGACTTTATTGGCGGTTATTTACAGTGTACATTCATACGAAAAAAAGAGGTGAGCGTTGATTTGAAGTTAATCTTTTATTCACTTATGCTATATATTATGTCATCATTATAGAGCAGACTCCGCTAGCTCAGGACCAAGTGCCGCTGCCACAGGAGCAAGTGCCGCTGCCTCAGGACCAAGTGCCGCTAGCTCAGGACCAAGTGCCGCTGCCACAGGACCAAGTGCCGCTGCCACAGGAGCAAGTGCTGCTGCCTCAGGAGCAAGTGCTGCTGCCTCAGGCGCAAGTGCTGCTGCCTCAGGAGCAAGTGCCGCTGCCTCAGGAGCAAGTGCCGCTGCCTCGGGAGCAAGTGGAGCAGGGTAAATATTTATCGCTTTCTTATTAAATTATATTTTCGAATAATGATATTTAATTTTTTACACAGTAGCGCATCTGGATCTGGTTCTAGTGCAACTCCAACTGGCGCTTCGTCAACAACCAAAACTTCAAGCGCTGCTTCGCCTAACCTCAGAAACGATATAAATCATTACGTATTCGTTTTCGCTGGTGTTCTTGCCCTTTTAATACATATAATTGTTGTTATTCTTTAAATAGTTCGAATTTAAGCTTTATATTTCATTGTTGCTAATTTTTTAAATAGCTTCCGTTTTTGGATAGTTTAAACATTTAATTTTCATTACAAATAATTTGTATAGAATAAATGTAAATTTAGTCTCTAAATAAATTATGTAAATAAATCGTTATCGCTAAGCAACGTATAACGATAAACGTAAATAATAACGATAACGTACAGAACGTGTATTACCGTTACTGTTATTCTATTTTCACCCATCCAATAGGTTCTCACCCGATTGACGAAGAATTGTCCGTCATTGGACGTTAGAAATTGAATTTCCGATTATGGGACTTTTGCCCACATGCTTATCTGGTGACAACGTTACAAATTCAATGCACGCGTATGCAAGTGTGTATCGTTTGCATGTACAGAATGTAAATACCATTATATTAATACGTATTTATTATCGTTGTCTTAAAATCCGAATGGTTCACACTTTCTTTTCTTTTTTCACTTTTTTTCACTTTTTCACTTTTTTATTATTTTACACTTCAAAATATTACAGTTTATTTGATAAACCGTAAAAATGCTCCGTAAAAGAATTGGCCTAGCAGCTCAAGCTATCTCTGCGAGGTAATAATTTGATGTTTTTATCGATTATAAAATACATGTAATGCAATCTAATAATAATACGTTTTTTTTAAAGTTCAAAATTCCAAAAAGGCGTGGCATATATACCACGAGTAAGACGATCAACATTATCACCAAAACAATTACCGTCGTCGCCATACTTGGGAAAACTAGCGCCTGAATTAGTGTCAGATATTTTAGATCAAATATTTGAATTATTAACACAACCATCCGACGATGATATTTTATACAGTCTACAAGCTTATCCAAATCTATATAACTGTATGTTAGTAAATAAAAAATGGTGCGAGACAGCAGTTAGAATACTCTATAAACATCCATGGCGGTTACATCGACTATACACACTACGAAAAACAGATTTGGCATATGATCGATGTGGACTAGTTCGTCTCTATTTGACAATGCTCGATCGAGAACAACGTCTTGTTCTGCTCGAACAGGGGATTAATCTGCCGGACCCCGAACGTACTCCAAGGTTTAAATACGCTTCATATTTACGATGTTTAGATTATGGGGTGATGTTGGAATCTATTTGGACTATTTACTCGCAATCCCATTATACTTATATACCATGTGAAAAAGTGAAATTAGTGGTAGGGGCTTTGTTGAAATTGTTTTCGACTCAGGCAGGAAGTTTGACGTGGTTACGATTTGCACCGATGAGTTTTAGTTTCGATGAAATGTATTTCGAAATGTTGGCGGATAAAGAATTTAATGCATTGTTAAGACCTGTTGAACATTTGGTTATTGAGGCAAATTTAGGTGGTTGTGTAAAGTTGTATAAATTATTTTCGGCGAATTTCCGGAATGTGGTAAGTAAAGAGATTCAACGTGATTTTTAGACCGATATAATGTGCAACAATCATTCAAATTTTTTCTATTTAGCGGAATTTAGAGTTAACTGATCTTCCAAGAGCAAGAAATTGGCTCGGTGACTCTTCAATAAAATGTCAAACCGAATTCACGGCAGTAATCGAATCACAACATCATTTACAATCACTAACGCTAAAAGAATGTGCTGGTTACTTGAGTTCAATCATCTCCGCAATCCTCTCACAATCGCATACAATTTCTCATCTAAAATTCATCGATTGTGATTTTCGAGGGTGTGAACCGTGGGTCGGACTATCGAAATGTCGACAACTAATCTCAATAGAATTCGGCGGATGTATTAACATTTCGGGGGCTATGATCGCGCCTTTGGTGGATGCTGGATTGACGCGGTTGAAAAAAGTCGTTGTTTGGAATAGAACAGATCAAAAAGCATGTAAAGAGTTGATGAGTTGGGCATCCGTATATCGTTCAATATAAATTATAATAACGATAATAGTTTGCGTAGAAACTTACAATAACGATAATAACAAAACAATTAATATATATAGAACAATTTATTATAGTATTTAATAATAGATCGGTCGTCTTTTTCTACGTCGTCTAAATATTAACGTTAACGTTAAATCTTTTACCGTTATCGTTACGTAAATTTTAAAGGACATTTTTACCACTTTCATTGACTGTATGATTAGCTTTAATTTTCTGTCCAAGTAATCGATACCGAGGCAATTTTTTACGTCAAAAGTTGGTATATTGTTCGATAAAATAAAATTTATCTTCTAAGAAATATTTTACCTACATGACTTTGAATTGATAATATCGATATCACTTTTTAATTGTTATCAAATAACAATTGGAAATAATTAATTTCTCATTCAAAGTCACGCTAGACGTATAGTCAGATATCAGGATCCACTGTATATGATAATCACTTTTAATTATGCTAGTTGCTAACTTTTGACTGTCCCCGAACTTGAGAAGTATACAATTTATTTTTTTCCTTTAAATTATGTAGCGATATCTGTGCATGTGACAAAAATTAGGACGATCGTAAGAAGTTTTAGTATCGGTATGTACATGTATATAGCAATATCAACATTAAAATTGGACCTGTATACTTTTGTCTGCTAGCAAAAGATGTTCGTTTTGGTTCAATTTACTGTACAATAGAACTCGAAAATTCAAATTATATATACAAATGGGTCGCAACAAAGATCTTACTAACGGAGAATGCCACACTGTCGAAATACTCAAGAAACAAGGCATGTCTGCACGCGTCCTTGAACG